ATTCAAGTAAGCAGCCCACTCCAAAGAGGCTCCCCACTAATACAAGTAGGGCAAGGCTAGGGATTTCAAACATGTTATGGTGAACACGAAAAACACTGTCCAATTTTTCACAGTCCGAGACCACAAACATTGCTCACATGCGCACTTGCTTTGTTTACTAAAGACACACAAGAAATTAAATCCTTGTGTGATACAAAATTCCGATTAAATGGGTTACGTTCAATGGCTCTCGAAATTGAACCAGGCACAATTCTTTTAACTGGCATAAAAACCATAATACTAACGTGCAAGGGTCGCATTGAGAAGCGTCCAGCTTGTCAGATTTGTATTTTTAAAATTCCTTGTTACTGTGAGTGAGTGAGTGAGTATGAATTTACGCCGCTTTTAGCAATATTCCAGCAATATCACGGCGGGGGACACCAGAAATGGGCTTCACACATTGTACCCATGTCGGGAATCGAACCTGGGTCTTCGGCGTGACGAGCGAACGCTTTAACCACTAGGCTACCCGACCGCCCCTTGTTACTGTGCGTTGAAACTGGATGAATTCGACATAGACATGAGAATTCATAAATGTGAGAAAAAGTCAACTGCTTCAAAATTATACCCACCTAATCTTTTACTTTTATCGGAATTTTTAATGCATCCATCTTACAAAACATTGATAGTTTACAGCCCCTTCTGAAAGATTCCGCTTTTAAGATCCCAGATTTATTAATTGATGATCAAGTTTTCGATGATATTCGTAGAAAGGACACAGAATTTCAAGTTGATTTACGCCTTATTTCTCAACGTATGAAAAAGGCACAGGTCATTTCGGATAATTTAATTGATGGTAATTGGATGGATTCCCTCCCACCTTACGCTTTAGATGGGGATTTAACCAACCCATATCACTTAACGGCAAGCATAGCCGCGGGTCTCTTAATAATCGTTCTTTTCTTATGGCTTAAAGTTCGACGCTTATTTTTTGCATTGACCTTACTTACAGCAGGCTCCCCAACTGACGGTTTGCCAATTTGGAAAACACATCTAACTACACCCTATCCAAATTATCCCCCTCCTTCATTTATGTCGTTGATTAAATCCACTATTTCCATGGATGTTTTTCTGATCATATCGACAGTATTTCTGGTATTCATTTTGCTTTTTCGAAGAATAAAAAAAGTCAATCGACCGGTTACGTCACTGGTTTTACATTTGACATATTCCTTTGCTGGTCATGAAATTATGGTCTCACAATTTTATCTTTGTCCCCGAGACCTCACGTTAACGGCTGGAAATCCTTTAACTAATTTTCATATTCAGCGGGTATTCCTCACTTATTATTTACTGTTTGATTGTCACAATTTGCAAATTCAAACCCCGACACAATCTATATATATTTCGGGAAATATTTATGTAAGTTGGCTAATGGCGTTTCGTTTAAAACGATTCCTTCCTTCCTCGACATGTATTTTTATGGTACTTCAACATTGTGCAGTCGCCTGTCTGTTACCTCTTACATAATTCATAAAATTACTGCCATCTGCCATGAGAAGATAAAAATTGAATTTCCTTTATCTAGACACGTTATTCTTGCCCATCATATTTCATATTGTAATGGCTTTGTTTTAACCATTCTACGGACCAGTTATTTGTGAGTGTTATACACGCTTGTCAGTAGGGTACAGTGAGAATATCAGAATATAAAATGGTTACGATTTTGAAATATTTGATCATATTAGTTATCCCCCTTTACAGATACTGATTTACAAGAAGAAAAGTTTATTTCTACTTATTGCATCTCTTTATTGTGACAATATTGAATGAATTACTTTTCTGTAGAGACAAGACCTGTATTTGGAAATTGGTTTCTCTCATATGATGGTCATATGATGGTCACTTGGTGACAATACGTTACATTATTCTACTATTGTGTATCTTCTATATTACTTTCTAGGTACAATTACTATCGGTGTTTCAATGTGTGCTCTCAGTCCATCCCTTGATAATTTTATATGTTGTTCGTTTTGGTGTTGATAACTACAAAGCATTTGCTGAATGTTGTTGGTTAGAATTTTATGATAGTTAGTCCGACTGTACTGTTCAAGCAGTCCATGGGTTTTTGCGATTTTTTCGTGCTTATTAATGTCTTTTTATGATAATATGTGGCTACGCAATTGGACCTGTAACAATTAATCCAAATATTCGATTCCTGCCGTTATCATCCTTATATGCAGATATGCATTTGCCAGAAGACTATTATTGTGTATATAGTCTTATTTTTACAGGCAGCAGTCTGAGCTGCAGGTGTCACGACTTTCTATGTATTGATATTTCTATAGTTTATATGGTAATATTCACTTGTTGTTCGTGAATTACCAGTATTTTTAAGTGTTGTAGATGATGGCCGTACCCCATTCTATAGGGCGGAGAGTCAAGCACTTCCCCCGCTGTCGTCTGGTCCACGCCAAATAATTAATCTGGCTTCTGGCTACACGCTTGCTGTCGAGGATGCACACTGTCCTATCACCTCTGCCGCTAAACACAGACCGCTAGCCACAGAGAGTTATCTATATCTGTCAGCACCCCGACGTCTACATCTACAGGTGCTCACGACGGCCGCATGCACACTGTAACTCTATCGGCATCCAACATCTTAAGAGAGCGACCAGTCAACACTCAAGCAGTGTCAAGAAAAGTCGACCTCTCGCTTTGCCACCCCAGCCGAGGACCTGACTGTGTGCATAGACCGCGTGTTTTCAAGGATTCAAGAACGTTGGACAGCGTTCCGCCAGTTGACTTTTTCGAAACAAGAAAGGAGCCAGTGAATTCGATTGGGACCAGCGACAAATGAACTTTTGTGAATAGTGGTGCCATATTGTGGCCATGTGCAGTGACATTTGACTTTTATGCATCACTATTAATTAATTCTACATGGTATTTGAATAATATTTCATGGTGTTTATGCTTTGTGGTTATACGAAATAACACAGGATCATTAACTTATTCTTTACCAGGTAAATACATGTTTTAACTGTAAAAGTATTCGTTGTTTTCGAAATCGTTATAACATTTGAAAATTGATTACAATTTAATATATGGAATGACCGATCCTGTTTTACTTCCATTATGTTTATTGTGATTGTATTTTATATCTCAGACCGGAACTCATGCTTAGATCTTCCGAGCTGTGGGCAGCTAACAAATAGAACCATTATAGCTGCAATGAGGAGTTGCATTAGATATAGTTTGTGACAGAACTTGTAGTTGGAAAGGAATCAATAGATAAAAGACATTTCACATTTATCACAAGTGTATTCTGGACATTTCACATTTATCATTGGATTGGTATCTGGCTATCATCCATGAGTTTAATGAAACAAATGGGGAGTTACAAGGCATAATCCATTTGGAGCTTCGGAGCGAGTCACAAAATCAATAGAGATATGAGCAAGCTGGCACGTAGGCTTTAGTATTTTTCCGATGGCGACACACATGAGTTCATGGTCAGATCTAAACTTGTAACGAATAAAATGGAGGTATTGAGACATGTGACAAGGACAGGTCAGGCTCGAACACTATAAACTGATACCCTCAACATTAGGAGAGGAGAGCGCGGTTTGCAGTCGATCGAGTCGAATCCCGATCGTTCTAAGTTTCCACCAGCTAGTGACGAGCCTGGCCAGTCTGATCCTGTTCTGTAGTGATAGATGGGCTGAGAGTAAGTAAAACTATGTGAGTATAAACTGGTGTTGCGTTTCTTTATTATGCGTGTGTGAATGCTGATAGAGACAACTTGGCGTAAGGGTCGTTAGACCAATCTCTCCTTCACGGAGCCGAGCCGTGGTGGACAAGGCGAGGGCAATGTCCTGGCTTAATTGACCACAAGGACCAGGAACGGCAATACATTTAGTAACTGTAGCAGGGTCGCACTGGACGCCCGAAAGCAGTTACGACACATGGCATAATCAATACAAAAGTGCAGCCTTTCATACGTTCATTTCTATGTGATATAAGTATTTATATTTATGTGTAATTTCTGGTTTGAGATAAGAAGTTGTCATCACAAGAGCACGCTTCCTATCGAGATTGTTTACTGTCCAAAGGCATACATTCAGTAACTGGCCACAACATTAGTTACTTACACTGGTGCCGTACTATAGTATGTTATCATGGACGTGAGCTGTCAATTAGTGGTCAGGCTCACTGACTTGGTTGATGCATGTCATCGTATTCCAAATAAATGGATCGATGCTAATGATGTCAATCAATGGATTGTCTGGTCCAGACTTAATTATATACAGACCACCGTCATATAGCTGGAATATTGCTGAGTGGGGCGGTAAACAACAAACAAACAACGTTCCAACACTTTACTTCCCGCATAAATTAAATGGGCATTAGTAACAGTTACTTTTGCAATATATTTACACATTGTGTCTTTAATGGGAACATTGTGGTACAATGTGCAGCCATCTAGATGTGGGGAAAAAAATTCTAGTTCACTCTCGTCCAGAATACAGGATTCACACTTTGCACAAAATCGTAGACAGTGTACTGTATAAAACAGTAATATTTTTCTTATTTGTAAACACATTGATACTTAAGTTTTAGTTGTGCTAGAATCCGTTGTACACGGATTCGCGGATAGTGGATTATTATCCATTGGTTGTCATTTCGACATCCTGCTTTGGGGTTATAACACAAGTCTAGTTGAATGATAATCAGAATAAAGTGTAATAAACCAAGTATAAAGGTGCTTCTTCACCCAATGCGATTGTTAGCATCACTTGTCATCCTCAACATCTATTACGCCTTATGTTAGATTATAGAGCCCAGTTTGGTTAAGCATTTTTTCTATTTTTTCTATTAATTTATTTTCTCAGATACAGGATACATATTTAGCAAGCCTGATAACTTACGTACATACATATATATACATAGTGTTATGAGTGGAAGTGGAATGAAGGGATACACTCAAAATCCATTCGCACAATTAAGGGATCGCACAACAATTAAGACAGATATTTATTAACGATGCATGATAGATTACCAATACAGCTAAGTTTACTATGGGAGAATTAGGCTTGGGCTACCATGTACAAATAATATCACCATCTAAGGGCTACAGCAAATTGTATACTTATATAGTCACCCTGATTTCCATGTTTGATTGTTCACTCCACTCCTTGGTCCACGAAAACACATATATCCATAGTTCGACATAAGCTCACAATGCAAGTTTTCCAAGGCACACATTTGCAAATATCAGCATGATTTCTAGTTCAGTTTCACAAGCCCCGACATGGGATACAATCTCTCACACAGTGTTCTGAACTTTAACGTTAAAAATGAGGAGGTTAAAATACAGGTCTGGCCAACACCCTAGAAACAGAAAAAGCTAACTATTTTTTAATCACCCCAACCTTATACTATAATGCTGATTAGCTACAAGCTTCACTTGTGACATAATTACTTAACCCGCTCAGGCAGCTAGCTCCCCAGGTGTACTATTCGAGCAAAATTACGCAACCCAAGCCTTCTTGTTTCAGTTCAAGTCTAAATGCGTCTGATATACTAACAAACATATAAAACCATACACCCATACACATAACAATAGAATATAGCACTATGTTCTCTAAACATTGAAAGCTTGCACATACAACACAAGTTAGTATTACGTAAATACTACAAACTCGCATTTCAACATTTAGCACCATTTACAGTCAGGCATGGTAGATAGATTCGTTTGCTGCCTGGCGCAGCCTAAATTATTCACAGTCTAAAATGGTACATAGATCATACTGCTATGCCTTGTCCAGACTGACTGAAATTGACCATTGCCGATTTTTTTTCACGTGTCAATAGATATTCTGCATGGGTGCATTTTATTCGCCTTACCTGCTGCAACTGTCCCGGAAAGTTGCTGATTAAGACAGTTAAGTAGTTTATGCCTATTGTCTCAAAGTCTCAACTAATGTTCATGGAGCTCCTCTGCTGACACCTGTTTGTTCATGTAGAGGCGTCATATGACACTTCTCCAGTACCACTTCCCTCAGATCCCCCACTTCCTCAGCTAGCTCTTCCTGAAGAATCTATTCATCACCCACTTTCCAGGTATCTTCAGAGTGTCCTTGACTTTCCTAAACAAGCCCGCGTCTTGGCTCACCTGAAAGGATCAACAAAACAGTTCACACATGACGACGTCTAGTATTTGAAGTGTGTTATACTGTAGACTTTCTCCCACATGGTCACCATTGCTAAGCCACAAACATTCCTTGAAAGCAGACAAACTGCTACTATCATCAATTAAGATCAGTTGACCTGTTACATCATTGATTTTGTTCTTGATTGCCTTGTTTCTTGGAAACACAATTTGGATACATTTACACTTGGCATGACTCAGTGCCATGGGGAAACAAACATTGCAATAATTTATTGTTGTAAGAGAGGGATACCAAGAATTATCATACATCGTTGTATATTACTGCTCTGACATGAATAGTACCTCTAGCAGAAATGATATGGTCTTATTAACTGATCCTTTATCCAGTTCCAGTCGCTCCTCTATCTTGTTGGCCACATCGTCTTCAAGCCGAAGTGGAGCTGTTGAGAATTTAAATCATTGAAATCAAAATAAAGAATCAAAACAGTCATTCACGATGCTCATAGTCCATATTTGAGCATCATAAAAAAGCGTTTTTAATCCACTGATAATACATTTAAAGGTGTGAGAAACTTACAGTCTCAATAAAGGTTTCGTTGAAGCCCCCACCATATGCTTACGCTAGAATTACGTTACTGTTTTTACTTTTCTGATCAGGAACTTCCTTTTGGGAGTTACATCTTTCCCTTAACTCTGCAGTTGCTGCAACCTGAAAAACATGAAAATGTATCTTGCAAAACGTCTCTTGAAATACATGCAGGGTCGTCGTCACGCCGACGACCCGGATTCGATTCCCGACGTGTGTGAAGCCCAGTTCTGGTGTCCCCCGCTATGATATTGCTGGAATATTGCTAAAAGCGGTGTTAAACCATACTCACTCACTCACTCACATGGAGGGTAGTAGTATTTTTGTATTGTAATAGAATTCCATTTCTCTGTCCAACACACAGTCCTGGTTTCCCTTCCCAAAGTTTAGCTAATAATTGTATATCCACTGTTATACATGATAGACTTATCTAAACCATACACAATCTTCCTTGCTTTGACAAAAAATAATCGTAAACATAAATATAAAGCATATATAGCTGACTGAACATGCATTGAATCGGCCTAATTTTAATTAAAAAAACCAGTCGTTTTAAAATTTGAAATCAATAAGACTGTTGTTGTTAATATTGCAATGGTACGTGCACATTGAAGCAGTTAACCACGTAAATAAGAAAAACTGTACTAATGACTAAGTAAATAATATAATCTGTGGAATGAAGCAGTGGGAATGCCTGTGATCGCCAAGTGAGAACTTTTCCATTTATATCACAGTGTCCTGATATTATGACAAAAATCCGGTAACTGAAAGCATGAGCAATATTATATGATTTCATGGCATAGTGACATACAGTCAGTGACATCCCCACTTTAAACATTTAGGGTGACATAGATGAGGTTTTCTGACCTGGGATGTCTACAGTGATATAGAATTGATAAGCAAGTGTTAAACCTTCGTTTCAGTGGAAGAAGCACAATCTGAAACATATGATTGATGACAAACAATATTATACCCAAGATTATGAGATTTCTGTTACCTCTCGTTCCTGTTCAAGATGTATGAGGACCTTATCAAGTATTCTAGGTAGTATTCCTGCTGGTAACTTTAACTTGGTCTTCTTCTTCTAACTTAACGTTTTACTTCTGTTCTAAAGTATGACTAATACTTGTATATGCTCTGTAACTTGCTTTGACATAAACATAAAATAAACATTAAGCCCTATCTAGCCTGCTATACATACATGGAATCTGCCTGATATTGATTATACAAACATTTCAAATCTCTTTGGAATCAATAATACCGTTTTAATTGTCACGTTAACATTGAAATGGTGCATAGATATTGAAATACTGAACCGCTCTAGTTGTTTCATGATTGAGTAAACAAGAACGTCTGTGGAATGAAGCATTGAGAAGGCTGGTGATCGCAAAAGTAACAACTGTTCAATTTATTTCACAGTGTCCTGTAAATATACGAATCTGATCCAGATAAACCAGTAACTGTAAGCATACCGGCATGATTACACACAGTCGAATTCATAGAGCCTGACCATCAAATCCCTATTTAAAACAGTTTGGGGGATATGCATGTGGCATGACCCAGAATGTCCAAAGGGATGCATAATTATGTGCAGTGTTAAACCCGCAGTATTTCAGAGGAAGAAATATGTAAAGCCGACATGCTTTATCTAAAAGACATCGTAGATGTAAAAGAACAATATCCTACATCACGTGATTTGTGTTACCTCCTGCCTGTGGTCCAGATGTTCCATCACGGCTTCAAGTATTCTCAGTAGTTTCCCTGGTTGTAACGCGAACCTTTTCTCCACCTTCCTTTGCAAATCAGTTGTGTCTCTCTTAATTTCTTGCCGTATCGTCCGTAATCTGTCTGAAATACAGAAAGGATTGATTTAGTGACACATATAGACTCAGAAACTTGAGCATAATTACAACTGACAACACCTGTATGCATACAACCTTATGCTCTTTGTACCCATGTTTCTTTCATCTGGAAATATTTTACTCCAGACAATATCAGAGATCCTCACTGTCAGGATAAATGACGTTTTACTGATTGTATATAAGCTAAACAAGGGTACACACATGTTGTTCATAAATACTCACCGAGATTGCACATGATTCCAGTTTCGGGACTTAGATCACAGCTGCTGTTGTCCATTTGGCTGTTGCCATCGATATAACTTCCAATAAAGTGGCCTCTGTTACTTTGGCTGTTAGTATCCCTTTCAGTAAATGTCCCATTGTCCACTTTGATGTCAGCATCTCTTCCAGTGAAGTGGTCTCTGTCAACATGGCTGTCAGCATCTCTTCCAGCAGATTTGCCTTTGTCCACCTGGCTGTCAACATCTCTTCCAGAAGAGTGGTATCTGTCAACTTTGCTGGTGACATCACTTCCAGAAGAGTGGTATCTGTCAACATGAATGTCAGCATCTCTTCCAGAAGAGTGGTCTCTGTCAACTTTGCTGGTGACATCACTTCCAGAAGAGTGGTATCTGTCAACATGAATGTCAACATCTCTTCCAGAAGAGTGGTCTCTGTCAACTTTGCTGCTGACATCACTTCCAGAAGAGTGGTATCTGTCAACATGAATGTCAGCATCTCTTCCAGTAGAGTGATATCTGTCAACATGGCTGCCAGCATCTCGTCCAGCAGATTTGCCTTTGTCAACATGGCTGTCATCATCTCTTCCAGCAGAGTCGTATTTGTCAACATGGCTGTCATCATCTCTTCCAGCAGAGTCGTATTTGTCAACATGGCTGTCATAATCTCTTCCAGAAGAATGGTATCTGTCTACATGGATATCAGCATCTCTTCGAGAAGAGTGGTATCTTTCAACATGTCTGTCATCATCTCTTCCAGAAGAGTGGTATTTGTCAACATGGCTGTCAGCATCTCTTCCAGAAGAATGGTATCTGTCTACATGGATAGCAGCATCTCTTCGAGAAGAGTGGTATCTTTCAACATGTCTGTCAGCATCTCTTCCAGTGAAGTGGTCTCTGTCAACATGGCTGCCAGCATCTCGTCCAGCAGATTTGCCTTTGTCAACATGGCTGTCAGCATTTCTTCCAGTAGAGTGATATCTGTCAACATGGCTGCCAGCATCTAGTCCAGCAGATTTGCCTTTGTCAACATGGCTGTCATCATCTCTTCCAGCAGAGTCGTATTTGTCAACATGGCTGTCATCATCTCTTCCAGGAGAGTGGTATTTGTCAACATGGCTGTCAGCATCTCTTCCAGAAGAATGGTATCTGTCTACATGGATATCAGCATCTCTTCGAGAAGAGTGGTATCTTTCAACATGTCTGTCAGCATCTCTTCCAGTGAAATGGTCTCTGTCAACATGGCTGCCAGCATCTCGTCCAGCAGATTTGCCTTTGTCAACATGGCTGTCAGCATCTCTTCCAGTGGAGTGGTCTCTGTCAACATGGCTGTCGACATCTCTTCCAGTAGAGTGGTCTCTGTTAACATGGCTGTCAGCATCTCTTCCAGAAGAGTGGTATCTATCGACATGAATGTCAGCATCTCTTCCAGTAGAGTGGTATCTGTCAACATGGCTGTCAGCTTCTCTTCCAGTGGAGTGGTCTCTGTCAACATGGCTGTCGACATCTCTTCCAGTAGAGTGGTCTCTGTTAACATGGCTGTCAGCATCTCTTCCAGAAGAGGGGTATCTGTCAACATGAATGTCAGCATCTCTTCCAGTAGAGTGGTATCTGTCAACATGGCTGTCAGCATCTCTTCCGGAAGAGTGGTATCTGTCAACATGAATGCCTGCATCTCTTCCAGTAGAGTGGTATCTGTCAACATGAATGTCAGCATCTCTTCCAGAAGAGTGGTATCTGTCAACACGAATGCCGGCATCTCTTCCAGGAGACTGGTGTCTGTCAACATGGCTGTCATCATCTATTCCAGAAGAGTGGTATCTGTCAACATGAATGCCTGCATCTCTTCCTGTAGAGTGGTATCTGTCAACATGAATGTCAGCATCTCTTCCTGTAGAGCGGTATCTGTCAACATGAATGTCAGCATCTCTTCCAGAAGAGTGGTCTCTCTCAACATGGATGTCAGCATCTCTTCCATAAAGGTTGTTTTTGTCAACATGAATGTCAGCATCTCTTCCAGTGAAGTGGTCTCTGTCAACATGGATGTCAGCATCTCTTCCAGAAGAGTGGTATCTGTCAACATGAATGTCAGCATCTCTTCCAGAAGAGTGGTATTTGTCAACATGGCTGTCATCATCTCTTCCAGAAGAGTGGTATTTGTCAACATGACTGTCAGCATCTCTTCCAGTAACATGAATGCCAGCATCTCTTCCAGAAGAGTGGTATTTGTCAACATGAATGCCAGCATCTCTTCCAGAAGAGTGGCATTTGTCAACATGGCTGCCAGCATCTCTTCCAGAAGAGTGGTATTTGTCAACATGACTGTCAGCATCTCTTCCAGAAGAATGGTATCTGTCTACATGGATATCAGCATCTCTTCGAGAAGAGTGGTATCTTTCAATATGTCTGTCAGCATCTCTTCCAGTGAAGTGGTCTCTGTCAACATGGCTGCCAGCATCTCGTCCAGCAGATTTGCCTTTGTCAACATGGCTGTCAGGATTTCTTCCAGTAGAGCGGCATCTGTCAACATGGCTGTCGACATCTCTTCCAGTAGAGTGGTCTCTGTCAACATGGCTGTCAGCATCTCTTCCTGAAGAGTGGTATCTGTCAACATGGCTGTCATCATCTCTTCCAGTAGAGTGGTATCTGTCAACATGAATGCCGGCATCTCTTCCAGTAGAGTGGTATCTGTCAACATGAATGTCAGCATCTCTTCCTGTAGAGTGGTATCTGTCAACATGAATGTCAGCATCTCTTCCAGAAGAGTGGTATCTGTCAACATGAATGCCGGTATCTCTTCCAGTAGAGTGGTGTCTGTCAACATGGCTGTCAGCATTTCTTCCAGAAGAGTGGTATCTGTCAACATGAATGCCGGCATCTCTTCCAGAAGAGTGGTATCTGTCTACATGAATGTCAGCATCTCTTCCAGTAGAGTGGTATCTGTCAACATGAATGTCAGCATCTCTTCCAGTTGAGTGGTATCTGTCAACATGAATGTCAGCATCTCTTCCAGAAGAGTGGTATCTGTCAGCATGGCTGTCAGCATTTCTTCCAGTAGAGCGGCATCTGTCAACATGGCTGTCGACATCTCTTCCTGTAGAGTTGTCTCTGTCAACTTTGCTGGTGACATCACTTCTAGAAGAGTGGTATATGTCAACATGAATGTCAGCATCTCTTCCAGTAGAGTGGTCTCTGTCAACATGGCTGTCAGCATCTCTTCCAGAAGAGTGGTATCTGTCAACATGAATGTCAGCATCTCTTCCAGTAGAGTGGTCTCTGTCAACATGGCTGCCAGCATCTCTTCCAGTCGAGTGGTATTTGTCAACATGAATGTCAGCATCTCTTCCAGTAGAGCGGCATCTGTCAACATGGCTGTCGACATCTCTTCCAGTAGAGCGGTCTCTGTCAACTTTGCTGGTGACATCACTTCCATCAGATTTGCATTTGTCAACTTTGCTGTTAGCATCACTTCCAGGGGAAAGGCCTAGTTGTGATTGATCATCAGTAACCTGCTAATATATTAAACAAAATAATCGTAATAAAATCGTTAAATTCCTGCTATACATTTATCTTACAACGTGGCAACTAGTTTCAATATATATAACCACAGTGTCATCTCTTTTAATTATGTCCCAGTTTACCTTAAATTCATATTCGTTCACAAGGAAATCTCCAAGTCTTTCAAATGTGGACTTGTTGACTTGTGTATCAAGATGTCCGGACGTTATAAAGAGTTTGTCCGTGTACTTAAAGCGTGATACACAATCTGGAGTGAAACCCCGGCCATACCGCTGTGACGTGGCAAAGGCAGTGAAGAGAATAATGTTCCTACAGTTAGAATTACCTGAAATGAAAAGATTAATGCTTATTATATCTTACAATTTAATAAATGCTTAATTATAATTATGTTCAGATTGATATGTTTTCCTACAATTGATGAAAATATCTTATGTACAAAACAATAGACATAAACCCCTCTTCATTTTAACGAAGGACAACAAAACTTTTTTTTCTGACAAAATGAAACAATTAATAATTCATTTGTGTATAATTTTACATTCATTTGACTAAACAACATCATGTATCTTTACAACTCCATCAAATTCATCAACATTTTGTAGATGTAACTACAGGTGGTAAGTCGAAAAGAAAACAATTAATCAACGTATATATCAATATGCACTCTTCAACATAGCAGTCTTCATTCACAACACATCTTATACTTGCCAAGGAAAGGTTGAACCACGCCATCAAATTCATCGTTCGGACTGCCTTGAGGCCGGAATATCACAATGATCGGTGGTGAAACAGTTGGCGACAGCTCTCTGTTTATGTCAACATGAAGTGACAGTTGGTATATGAAAGACTTCTTGAGTTTGTCATCATAAGGTGAGCAAGGCAGAACATGAAGAGGCAGTGGCATATCTGAAACAGATCATAACAAGAAAGCCCCTGATAAACTTACAAGAAAACATACGTCCATATTTAGGTATATAAATGGCATCTCTCTTCTCTGATTTGATCATGAGAATCTTACCAAAAAATGCATTTGATTAGGTTTGATTATTGTAATTGAAGTGTCAGCACCATTCAGATGATCCTGGGTTCTATCCTAAGTTTGTAAACTAGCGAAACTAAGAAATCCTTTCATTTCAATAAAAACAGCCTGCTTTGTATATAAAGAGTACTTTGAGCAGTCAAAAACAACTACTCAATTGATAATAGAGAGAAGCGAACGTACAAGGTTCGTTCATTTGGTTGACGTTTGATAAGAACATAAACACGATGCGATGAGGTGTGGTGAAATGGCGTTTTAAAAAAGAACTCATGACTGGGATTTCGAATTCAGATGTGCCTGATTGAAATGTCAGCACCATACCAGGGATCCTTAGTTAAACGAAAGTGTGTTTCCTTGATTTTAATTAGGCAAACATCTGACGAAAACATAATTACTTTTGATCTCATACCAGCAAAAAGTATTTTTATGAAAAACAATTTACGAACCCAATAAATATATTTATATTAGTATAAATAAATTCTGAACAGAACGGATGTTTCATTTTTACAAATTGTAAAAGTTTTGTTCATTTGCTTGAGGAATGATTAGAACATTACCATGATGAGTGTTGATTATAATAGGTTTAGACGACAGTTTTCCTGCGATGTCAAACCTGACAATACTTATTTACTTTGTGACCTGTTGTCACCAGATAGGCATTTTCCTAAAGTACCTTGAACACGAAGTAAATCTCATCATTTCATTAAAAAAAGCATGTTATAATTCTAAACAATGTTTGAGGAGAACTAAAACGTCATTCAAAATTTCTTATGAAAGAAAAGCGAACGTAAAATGTTCGTTCATCTGCTTCAACTACGATGAGAGTTTATTTTGTTTAGGTGATAGATGAAATGTAATAAAGAACACAACCATTACTTTCAATCTTGTTGAAAAAGCAGTAATCAGGCATCAACTTTGTATTTGAAGTAAGTAATGACATCAAAGCTTTACATGAAAAGCGATAGATGTCACGTTGCTTAGTTGAGAACATCGTGTAAGCAAACGTACACTCACCTGTACCTATTACGGGAGCCAGGCTTCTTAAAATAACCTTGTACGTTCGCTTGGGCCTGTCACAGGGCTATGTGGTTGTCAGCCTGTCAGGCTTTGCACACCACCCAGCTGGAAGGACTCGTCTTGTTTATACCGCCGCCCCGGACATCCTGGTTCAGTGAATGTGTGCACACCAAGCTGTTGGGACGTCTTATTCCTCACAGCCCGCAACGCAACGTAAGTTGACATCACATGAAGTTGATAGATGTGAGACTACCCTGATACGAGTATATGTTTGCAGACTTTAGCTGTTGCTCGTCTTTTTGTTTTCGTTTGTATCTAGGACTGAAGCTCAATCGCAGTTTTTATTTGGAGAAAAATGTCAATTATGGATTGGACAACGAATAAGAAAATGTTATTTTGATTATGAGGCGAAACAAATATTGATTTCATATGGTTATGAGGTTAAGTGATATATGTTGAAACCATTGTGAACATTTAAGCTGTATATATTCTTTAGACCAAGTATATACCAACATTTCAGTATATGTCATGTTTCTGTGTTTTGCCTTTTTCAGTGCATCAATAAAGCATGTTTTCCTGGGGTAAGTATACATTTGTTTTTACATGAAATCATCCTATCCCTGGCTGATTTTATACACCTACATCAACTGTACCATTCAGTACAACTAATATCGGGATTCATTCTAATTCATCAGTTGTCTTGCCGTTTACATCTGAAATATAACCCCACGAGTTGACATCATCTTACAGGGTGTGTGTTAGCTGTAGTCATGTGACAGTAATGTGATTTTGAAACATTTAAAAATATATCATGATAATTAAGACTGGTTAATTAAGTTGATTGAGACGTATACAGTTTATACGCATCAAGTTTACAAACACTGTTACTACTAGCATTTGGTAATATTTTAAAACCAACATGTGTTCACTTCATCTAACTGCCACTTGCGCACTTTTACCTTACAGATATCGGTGGAAAAGAGGTAAGGAATAATGACATTTCTCTTCACGCCAATGTTCTTGCAGTCAGAATCTTTTGTAAAAACCAGTATTTTTAGTAGGCACAACGTATACACAGCGAATGCAGTGAAAGGGAAGTGGTTGCACAATTTGTTTTAATGTATTTCTCTTTACACACAAACCATCAATTTCAGTTTTAAGAACACTCGGCCTGTTGTTAATTCCTTCACTTTTGAGGATTAATTCTAAGGATCGAATCAGTTTTTGAATATGGACACTGCATGTTTATGTTTATAGGACGTTTGATTAATATAAACCAAAAGAAAAGAATCACACCCCTCAGATTAATTTAATTCTTAAACTTGTTATTGTATATGTGCATTGTGACAAATGTTTGCAGTTATTTCATGCTGCAGTCGCCATTGTTTTACACATAATTAAAAAAACCCAGAATACATAACATTAAGCCATAAGCAAGAACCTCGCAAAATATATTGAACCGCAAAAGAAACGTCACCATGGATAGATATACGAGAAACCTTGTTAGTATCCCTTTCAGTAAATGTCCCATTGTCCACTTTGATGTCAGCATCTCTTCCAGTGAAGTGGTCTCTGTCAACATGGCTGTCAGCATCTCTTCCAGCAGATTTGCCTTTGTCCACCTGGCTGTCAACATCTCTTCCAGAAGAGTGGTATCTGTCAACTTTGCTGGTGACATCACTTCCAGAAGAGTGGTATCTGTCAACATGAATGTCAACATCTCTTCCAGAAGAGTGGTCTCTGTCAACTTTGCTGCTGACATCACTTCCAGAAGAGTGGTATCTGTCAACATGAATGTCAGCATCTCTTCCAGTAGAGTGATATCTGTCAACATGGCTGCCAGCATCTCGTCCAGCAGATTTGCCTTTGTCAACATGGCTGTCATCATCTCTTCCAGCAGAGTCGTATTTGTCAACATGGCTGTCATCATCTCTTCCAGCAGAGTCGTATTTGTCAACATGGCTGTCATAATCTCTTCCAGAAGAATGGTATCTGTCTACATGGATATCAGCATCTCTTCGAGAAGAGTGGTATCTTTCAACATGGCTGTCATCATCTCTTCCAGAAGAGTGGTATTTGTCAACATGGCTGTCAGCATCTCTTCCAGAAGAATGGTATCTGTCTACATGGATAGCAGCATCTCTTCGAGAAGAGTGGTATCTTTCAACATGTCTGTCAGCATCTCTTCCAGTGAAGTGGTCTCTGTCAACATGGCTGCCAGCATCTAGTCCAGCAGATTTGCCTTTGTCAACATGGCTGTCATCATCTCTTCCAGCAGAGTCGTATTTGTCAACATGGCTGTCATCATCACTTCCAGGAGGATGGTATTTGTCAACATGGCTGTCAGCATCTCTTCCAGAAGAATGGTATCTGTCTACATGGATATCAGCATCTCTTCGAGAAGAGTGGTATCTTTCAACATGTCTGTCAGCATCTCTTCCAGTGAAATGGTCTCTGTCAACATGGCTGCCAGCATCTCGTCCAGCAGATTTGCCTTTGTCAACATGGCTGTCAGCATCTCTTCCAGTGGAGTGGTCTCTGTCAACATGGCTGTCGACATCTCTTCCAGTAGAGTGGTCTCTGTTAACATGGCTGTCAGCATCTCTTCCAGAAGAGTGGTATCTATCGACATGAATGTCAGCATCTCTTCCAGTAGAGTGGTATCTGTCAACATGGCTGTCAGCTTCTCTTCCAGTGGAGTGGTCTCTGTCAACATGGCTGTCGACATCTCTTCCAGTAGAGTGGTCTCTGTTAACATGGCTGTCAGCATCTCTTCCAGAAGAGTGGTATCTGTCAACATGAATGTCAGCATCTCTTCCAGTAGAGTGGTATCTGTCAACATGGCTGTCAGCATCTCTTCCGGAAGAGTGGTATCTGTCAACATGAATGCCTGCATCTCTTCCAGTAGAGTGGTATCTGTCAACATGAATGTCAGCATCTCTTCCAGAAGAGTGGTATCTGTCAACACGAATGCCGGCATCTCTTCCAGGAGACTGGTGTCTGTCAACATGGCTGTCATCATCTATTCCAGAAGAGTGGTATCTGTCAACATGAATGCCTGCATCTCTTCCTGTAGAGTGGTATCTGTCAACATGAATGTCAGCATCTCTTCCTGTAGAGCGGTATCTGTCAACATGAATGTCAGCATCTCTTCCAGAAGAGTGGTCTCTCTCAACATGGATGTCAGCATCTCTTCCATAAAGGTTGTTTTTGTCAACATGAATGTCAGCATCTCTTCCAGTGAAGTGGTCTCTGTCAACATGGATGTCAGCATCTCTTCCAGAAGAGTGGTATCTGTCAACATGAATGTCAGCATCTCTTCCAGAAGAGTGGTATTTGTCAACATGGCTGTCATCATCTCTTCCAGAAGAGTGGTATTTGTCAACATGACTGTCAGCATCTCTTCCAGAAGAGTGGTATTTGTCAACATGAATGCCAGCATCTCTTCCAGAAGAGTGGTATTTGTCAACATGAATGCCAGCATCTCTTCCAGAAGAGTGGTATTTGTCAACATGGCTACCAGCATCTCTTCCAGAAGAGTGGTATTTGTCAACATGACTGTCAGCATCTCTTCCAGAAGAATGGTATCTGTCTACATGGATATCAGCATCTCTTCGAGAAGAGTGGTATCTTTCAACATGTCTGTCAGCATCTCTTCCAGTGAAGTGGTCTCTGTCAACATGGCTGCCAGCATCTCGTCCAGCAGATTTGCCTTTGTCAACATGGCTGTCAGGATTTCTTCCAGTAGAGCGGCATCTGTCAACATGGCTGTCGACATCTCTTCCAGTAGAGTGGTCTCTGTCAACATGGCTATCAGCATCTCTTCCTGAAGAGTGGTATCTGTCAACATGGCTGTCATCATCTCTTCCAGTAGAGTGGTATCTGTCAACATGAATGCCGGCATCTTTTCCTGTAGAGTGGTATCTGTCAACATGAATGTCAGCATCTCTTCCTGTAGAGTGGTATCTGTCAACATGAATGTCAGCATCTCTTCCAGAAGAGTGGTATCTGTCAACATGAATGCCGGTATCTCTTCCAGTAGAGTGGTGTCTGTCAACATGGCTGTCAGCATTTCTTCCAGAAGAGTGGTATCTGTCAACATGAATGCCGGCATCTCTTCCAGAAGAGTGGTATCTGTCTACATGAATGTCAGCATCTCTTCCAGTAGAGTGGTATCTGTCAACATGAATGTCAGCATCTCTTCCAGTTGAGTGGTATCTGTCAACATGAATGTCAGCATCTCTTCCAGAAGAGTGGTATCTGTCAGCATGGCTGTCAGCATTTCTTCCAGTAGAGCGGCATCTGTCAACATGGCTGTCGACATCTCTTCCTGTAGAGTTGTCTCTGTCAACTTTGCTGGTGACATCACTTCTAGAAGAGTGGTATATGTCAACATGAATGTCAGCATCTCTTCCAGTAGAGTGGTCTCTGTCAACATGGCTGTCAGCATCTCTTCCAGAAGAGTGGTATCTGTCAACATGAATGTCAGCATCTCTTCCAGTAGAGTGGTCTCTGTCAACATGGCTGCCAGCATCTCTTCCAGTCGAGTGGTATTTGTCAACATGAATGTCAGCATCTCTTCCAGTAGAGCGGCATCTGTCAACATGGCTGTCGACATCTCTTCCAGTAGAGCGGTCTCTGTCAACTTTGCTGGTGACATCACTTCCATCAGATTTGCATTTGTCAACTTTGCTGTTAGCATCACTTCCAGGGGAAAGGCCTAGTTGTGATTGATCATCAGTAACCTGCTAATATATTAAACAAAATAATCGTAATAAAATCGTTAAATTCCTGCTATACATTTATCTTACAACGTGGCAACTAGTTTCAATATATATAACCACAGTGTCATCTCTTTTAATTATGTCCCAGTTTACCTTAAATTCATATTCGTTCACAAGGAAATCTCCAAGTCTTTCAAATGTGGACTTGTTGACTTGTGTATCAAGATGTCCGGACGTTATAAAGAGTTTGTCCGTGTACTTAAAGCTTGATACACAATCTGGAGTGAAACCCCGGCCATACCGCTGTGACGTGGCAAAGGCAGTGAAGAGAATAATGTTCCTACAGTTAGAATTACCTGAAATGAAAAGATTAATGCTTATTATATCTTACAATTTAATAAATGCTTAATTATAATTATGTTCAGATTGATATGTTTTCCTACAATTGATGAAAATATCTTATGTACAAAACAATAGACATAAACCCCTCTTCATTTTAACGAAGGACAACAAAACTTTTTTTTCTGACAAAATGAAACAATTAATAATTCATTTGTGTATAATTTTACATTCATTTGACTAAACAACATCATGTATCTTTACAACTCCATCAAATTCATCAACATTTTGTAGATGTAACTACAGGTGGTAAGTCGAAAAGAAAACAATTAATCAACGTATATATCAATATGCACTCTTCAACATAGCAGTCTTCATTCACAACACATCTTATACTTGCCAAGGAAAGGTTGAACCACGCCATCAAATTCATCGTTCGGACTGCCTTGAGGCCGGAATATCACAATGATCGGTGGTGAAACAGTTGGCGACAGCTCTCTGTTTATGTCAACATGAAGTGACAGTTGGTATATGAAAGACTTCTTGAGTTTGTCATCATAAGGTGAGCAAGGCAGAACATGAAGAGGCAGTGGCATATCTGAAACAAATCATAACAAGAAAGCCCCTGATAAACTTACAAGAAAACATACGTCCATATTTAGGTATATAAATGGCATCTCTCTTCTCTGATTTGATCATGAGAATCTTACCAAAAAATGCATTTGATTAGGTTTGATTATTGTAATTGAAGTGTCAGCACCATTCAGATGATCCTGGGTTCTATCCTAAGTTTGTAAACTAGCGAAACTAAGAAATCCTTTCATTTCAATAAAAACAGCCTGCTTTGTATATAAAGAGTACTTTGAGCAGTCAAAAACAACTACTCAATTGATAATAGAGAGAAGCGAACGTACAAGGTTCGTTCATTTGGTTGACGTTTGATAAGAACATAAACACGATGCGATGAGGTGTGGTGAAATGGCGTTTTAAAAAAGAACTCATGACTGGGATTTCGAATTCAGATGTGCCTGATTGAAATGTCAGCACCATACCAGGGATCCTTAGTTAAACGAAAGTGTGTTTCCTTGATTTTAATTAGGCAAACATCTGACGAAAACATAATTACTTTTGATCTCATACCAGCAAAAAGTATTTTTATGAAAAACAATTTACGAACCCAATAAATATATTTATATTAGTATAAATAAATTCTGAACAGAACGGATGTTTCATTTTTACAAATTGTAAAAGTTTTGTTCATTTGCTTGAGGAATGATTAGAACATTACCATGATGAGTGTTGATTATAATAGGTTTAGACGACAGTTTTCCTGCGATGTCAAACCTGACAATACTTATTTACTTTGTGACCTGTTGTCACCAGATAGGCATTTTCCTAAAGTACCTTGAACACGAAGTAAATCTCATCATTTCATTAAAAAAAGCATGTTATAATTCTAAACAATGTTTGAGGAGAACTAAAACGTCATTCAAAATTTCTTATGAAAGAAAAGCGAACGTAAAATGTTCGTTCATCTGCTTCAACTACGATGAGAGTTTATTTTGTTTAGGTGATAGATGAAATGTAATAAAGAACACAACCATTACTTTCAATCTTGTTGAAAAAGCAGTAATCAGGCATCAACTTTGTATTTGAAGTAAGTAATGACATCAAAGCTTTACATGAAAAGCGATAGATGTCACGTTGCTTAGTTGAGAACATCGTGTAAGCAAACGTACACTCACCTGTACCTATTACGGGAGCCAGGCTTCTTAAAATAACCTTGTACGTTCGCTTGGGCCTGTCACAGGGCTATGTGGTTGTCAGCCTGTCAGGCTTTGCACACCACCCAGCTGGAAGGACTCGTCTTGTTTATACCGCCGCCCCGGACATCCTGGTTCAGTGAATGTGTGCACACCAAGCTGTTGGGACGTCTTATTCCTCACAGCCCGCAACGCAACGTAAGTTGACATCACATGAAGTTGATAGATGTGAGACTACCCTGATACGAGTATATGTTTGCAGACTTTAGCTGTTGCTCGTCTTTTTGTTTTCGTTTGTATCTAGGACTGAAGCTCAATCGCAGTTTTTATTTGGAGAAAAATGTCAATTATGGATTGGACAACGAATAAGAAAATGTTATTTTGATTATGAGGCGAAACAAATATTGATTTCATATGGTTATGAGGTTAAGTGATATATGTTGAAACCATTGTGAACATTTAAGCTGTATATATTCTTTAGACCAAGTATATACCAACATTTCAGTATATGTCATGTTTCTGTGTTTTGCCTTTTTCAGTGCATCAATAAAGCATGTTTTCCTGGGGTAAGTATACATTTGTTTTTACATGAAATCATCCTATCCCTGGCTGATTTTATACACCTACATCAACTGTACCATTCAGTACAACTAATATCGGGATTCATTCTAATTCATCAGTTGTCTTGCCGTTTACATCTGAAATATAACCCCACGAGTTGACATCATCTTACAGGGTGTGTGTTAGCTGTAGTCATGTGACAGTAATGTGATTTTGAAACATTTAAAAATATATCATGATAATTAAGACTGGTTAATTAAGTTGATTGAGACGTATACAGTTTATACGCATCAAGTTTACAAACACTGTTACTACTAGCATTTGGTAATATTTTAAAACCAACATGTGTTCACTTCATCTAACTGCCACTTGCGCACTTTTACCTTACAGATATCGGTGGAAAAGAGGTAAGGAATAATGACATTTCTCTTCACGCCAATGTTCTTGCAGTCAGAATCTTTTGTAAAAACCAGTATTTTTAGTAGGCACAACGTATACACAGCGAATGCAGTGAAAGGGAAGTGGTTGCACAATTTGTTTTAATGTATTTCTCTTTACACACAAACCATCAATTTCAGTTTTAAGAACACTCGGCCTGTTGTTAATTCCTTCACTTTTGAGGATTAATTCTAAGGATCGAATCAGTTTTTGAATATGGACACTGCATGTTTATGTTTATAGGACGTTTGATTAATATAAACCAAAAGAAAAGAATCACACCCCTCAGATTAATTTAATTCTTAAACTTGTTATTGTATATGTGCATTGTGACAAATGTTTGCAGTTATTTCATGCTGCAGTCGCCATTGTTTTACACATAATTAAAAAAACCCAGAATACATAACATTAAGCCATAAGCAAGAACCTCGCAAAATATATTGAACCGCAAAAGAAACGTCACCATGTATAGATATACGAGAAACCTTGTTAGTATCCCTTTCAGTAAATGTCCCATTGTCCACTTTGATGTCAGCATCTCTTCCAGTGAAGTGGTCTCTGTCAACATGGCTGTCAGCATCTCTTCCAGCAGATTTGCCTTTGTCCACCTGGCTGTCAACATCTCTTCCAGAAGAGTGGTATCTGTCAACTTTGCTGGTGACATCACTTCCAGAAGAGTGGTATCTGTCAACATGAATGTCAACATCTCTTCCAGAAGAGTGGTCTCTGTCAACTTTGCTGCTGACATCACTTCCAGAAGAGTGGTATCTGTCAACATGAATGTCAGCATCTCTTCCAGTAGAGTGATATCTGTCAACATGGCTGCCAGCATCTCGTCCAGCAGATTTGCCTTTGTCAACATGGCTGTCATCATCTCTTCCAGCAGAGTCGTATTTGTCAACATGGCTGTCATCATCTCTTCCAGCAGAGTCGTATTTGTCAACATGGCTGTCATAATCTCTTCCAGAAGAATGGTATCTGTCTACATGGATATCAGCATCTCTTCGAGAAGAGTGGTATCTTTCAACATGGCTGTCATCATCTCTTCCAGAAGAGTGGTATTTGTCAACATGGCTGTCAGCATCTCTTCCAGAAGAATGGTATCTGTCTACATGGATAGCAGCATCTCTTCGAGAAGAGTGGTATCTTTCAACATGTCTGTCAGCATCTCTTCCAGTGAAGTGGTCTCTGTCAACATGGCTGCCAGCATCTAGTCCAGCAGATTTGCCTTTGTCAACATGGCTGTCATCATCTCTTCCAGCAGAGTCGTATTTGTCAACATGGCTGTCATCATCACTTCCAGGAGAGTGGTATTTGTCAACATGGCTGTCAGCATCTCTTCCAGAAGAATGGTATCTGTCTACATGGATATCAGCATCTCTTCGAGAAGAGTGGTATCTTTCAACATGTCTGTCAGCATCTCTTCCAGTGAAATGGTCTCTGTCAACATGGCTGCCAGCATCTCGTCCAGCAGATTTGCCTTTGTCAACATGGCTGTCAGCATCTCTTCCAGTGGAGTGGTCTCTGTCAACATGGCTGTCGACATCTCTTCCAGTAGAGTGGTCTCTGTTAACATGGCTGTCAGCATCTCTTCCAGAAGAGTGGTATCTATCGACATGAATGTCAGCATCTCTTCCAGTAGAGTGGTATCTGTCAACATGGCTGTCAGCTTCTCTTCCAGTGGAGTGGTCTCTGTCAACATGGCTGTCGACATCTCTTCCAGTAGAGTGGTCTCTGTTAACATGGCTGTCAGCATCTCTTCCAGAAGAGTGGTATCTGTCAACATGAATGTCAGCATCTCTTCCAGTAGAGTGGTATCTGTCAACATGGCTGTCAGCATCTCTTCCGGAAGAGTGGTATCTGTCAACATGAATGCCTGCATCTCTTCCAGTAGAGTGGTATCTGTCAACATGAATGTCAGCATCTCTTCCAGAAGAGTGGTATCTGTCAACACGAATGCCGGCATCTCTTCCAGGAGACTGGTGTCTGTCAACATGGCTGTCATCATCTATTCCAGAAGAGTGGTATCTGTCAACATGAATGCCTGCATCTCTTCCTGTAGAGTGGTATCTGTCAACATGAATGTCAGCATCTCTTCCTGTAGAGCGGTATCTGTCAACATGAATGTCAGCATCTCTTCCAGAAGAGTGGTCTCTCTCAACATGGATGTCAGCATCTCTTCCATAAAGGTTGTTTTTGTCAACATGAATGTCAGCATCTCTTCCAGTGAAGTGGTCTCTGTCAACATGGATGTCAGCATCTCTTCCAGAAGAGTGGTATCTGTCAACATGAATGTCAGCATCTCTTCCAGAAGAGTGGTATTTGTCAACATGGCTGTCATCATCTCTTCCAGAAGAGTGGTATTTGTCAACATGACTGTCAGCATCTCTTCCAGAAGAGTGGTATTTGTCAACATGAATGCCAGCATCTCTTCCAGAAGAGTGGTATTTGTCAACATGAATGCCAGCATCTCTTCCAGAAGAGTGGTATTTGTCAACATGGCTACCAGCATCTCTTCCAGAAGAGTGGTATTTGTCAACATGACTGTCAGCATCTCTTCCAGAAGAATGGTATCTGTCTACATGGATATCAGCATCTCTTCGAGAAGAGTGGTATCTTTCAACATGTCTGTCAGCATCTCTTCCAGTGAAGTGGTCTCTGTCAACATGGCTGCCAGCATCTCGTCCAGCAGATTTGCCTTTGTCAACATGGCTGTCAGGATTTCTTCCAGTAGAGCGGCATCTGTCAACATGGCTGTCGACATCTCTTCCAGTAGAGTGGTCTCTGTCAACATGGCTATCAGCATCTCTTCCTGAAGAGTGGTATCTGTCAACATGGCTGTCATCATCTCTTCCAGTAGAGTGGTATCTGTCAACATGAATGCCGGCATCTCTTCCTGTAGAGTGGTATCTGTCAACATGAATGTCAGCATCTCTTCCTGTAGAGTGGTATCTGTCAACATGAATGTCAGCATCTCTTCCAGAAGAGTGGTATCTGTCAACATGAATGCCGGTATCTCTTCCAGTAGAGTGGTGTCTGTCAACATGGCTGTCAGCATTTCTTCCAGAAGAGTGGTATCTGTCAACATGAATGCCGGCATCTCTTCCAGAAGAGTGGTATCTGTCTACATGAATGTCAGCATCTCTTCCAGTAGAGTGGTATCTGTCAACATGAATGTCAGCATCTCTTCCAGTTGAGTGGTATCTGTCAACATGAATGTCAGCATCTCTTCCAGAAGAGTGGTATCTGTCAGCATGGCTGTCAGCATTTCTTCCAGTAGAGCGGCATCTGTCAACATGGCTGTCGACATCTCTTCCTGTAGAGTTGTCTCTGTCAACTTTGCTGGTGACATCACTTCTAGAAGAGTGGTATATGTCAACATGAATGTCAGCATCTCTTCCAGTAGAGTGGTCTCTGTCAACATGGCTGTCAGCATCTCTTCCAGAAGAGTGGTATCTGTCAACATGAATGTCAGCATCTCTTCCAGTAGAGTGGTCTCTGTCAACATGGCTGCCAGCATCTCTTCCAGTCGAGTGGTATTTGTCAACATGAATGTCAGCATCTCTTCCAGAAGAGTGGTATCTGTCAGCATGGCTGTCAGCATTTCTTCCAGTAGAGCGGCATCTGTCAACATGGCTGTCGACATCTCTTCCTGTAGAGTTGTCTCTGTCAACTTTGCTGGTGACATCACTTCTAGAAGAGTGGTATATGTCAACATGAATGTCAGCATCTCTTCCAGTAGAGTGGTCTCTGTCAACATGGCTGTCAGCATCTCTTCCAGAAGAGTGGTATCTGTCAACATGAATGTCAGCATCTCTTCCAGTAGAGTGGTCTCTGTCAACATGGCTGCCAGCATCTCTTCCAGTCGAGTGGTATTTGTCAACATGAATGTCAGCATCTCTTCCAGTAGAGCGGCATCTGTCAACATGGCTGTCGACATCTCTTCCAGTAGAGCGGTCTCTGTCAACTTTGCTGGTGACATCACTTCCATCAGATTTGCATTTGTCAACTTTGCTGTTAGCATCACTTCCAGGGGAAAGGCCTAGTTGTGATTGATCATCAGTAACCTGCTAATATATTAAACAAAATAATCGTAATAAAATCGTTAAATTCCTGCTATACATTTATCTTACAACGTGGCAACTAGTTTCAATATATATAACCACAGTGTCATCTCTTTTAATTATGTCCCAGTTTACCTTAAATTCATATTCGTTCACAAGGAAATCTCCAAGTCTTTCAAATGTGGACTTGTTGACTTGTGTATCAAGATGTCCGGACGTTATAAAGAGTTTGTCCGTGTACTTAAAGCTTGATACACAATCTGGAGTGAAACCCCGGCCATACCGCTGTGACGTGGCAAAGGCAGTGAAGAGAATAATGTTCCTACAGTTAGAATTACCTGAAATGAAAAGATTAATGCTTATTATATCTTACAATTTAATAAATGCTTAATTATAATTATGTTCAGATTGATATGTTTTCCTACAATTGATGAAAATATCTTATGTACAAAACAATAGACATAAACCCCTCTTCATTTTAACGAAGGACAACAAAACTTTTTTTTCTGACAAAATGAAACAATTAATAATTCATTTGTGTATAATTTTACATTCATTTGACTAAACAACATCATGTATCTTTACAACTCCATCAAATTCATCAACATTTTGTAGATGTAACTACAGGTGGTAAGTCGAAAAGAAAACAATTAATCAACGTATATATCAATATGCACTCTTCAACATAGCAGTCTTCATTCACAACACATCTTATACTTGCCAAGGAAAGGTTGAACCACGCCATCAAATTCATCGTTCGGACTGCCTTGAGGCCGGAATATCACAATGATCGGTGGTGAAACAGTTGGCGACAGCTCTCTGTTTATGTCAACATGAAGTGACAGTTGGTATATGAAAGACTTCTTGAGTTTGTCATCATAAGGTGAGCAAGGCAGAACATGAAGAGGCAGTGGCATATCTGAAACAAATCATAACAAGAAAGCCCCTGATAAACTTACAAGAAAACATACGTCCATATTTAGGTATATAAATGGCATCTCTCTTCTCTGATTTGATCATGAGAATCTTACCAAAAAATGCATTTGATTAGGTTTGATTATTGTAATTGAAGTGTCAGCACCATTCAGATGATCCTGGGTTCTATCCTAAGTTTGTAAACTAGCGAAACTAAGAAATCCTTTCATTTCAATAAAAACAGCCTGCTTTGTATATAAAGAGTACTTTGAGCAGTCAAAAACAACTACTCAATTGATAATAGAGAGAAGCGAACGTACAAGGTTCGTTCATTTGGTTGACGTTTGATAAGAACATAAACACGATGCGATGAGGTGTGGTGAAATGGCGTTTTAAAAAAGAACTCATGACTGGGATTTCGAATTCAGATGTGCCTGATTGAAATGTCAGCACCATACCAGGGATCCTTAGTTAAACGAAAGTGTGTTTCCTTGATTTTAATTAGGCAAACATCTGACGAAAACATAATTACTTTTGATCTCATACCAGCAAAAAGTATTTTTATGAAAAACAATTTACGAACCCAATAAATATATTTATATTAGTATAAATAAATTCTGAACAGAACGGATGTTTCATTTTTACAAATTGTAAAAGTTTTGTTCATTTGCTTGAGGAATGATTAGAACATTACCATGATGAGTGTTGATTATAATAGGTTTAGACGACAGTTTTCCTGCGATGTCAAACCTGACAATACTTATTTACTTTGTGACCTGTTGTCACCAGATAGGCATTTTCCTAAAGTACCTTGAACACGAAGTAAATCTCATCATTTCATTAAAAAAAGCATGTTATAATTCTAAACAATGTTTGAGGAGAACTAAAACGTCATTCAAAATTTCTTATGAAAGAAAAGCGAACGTAAAATGTTCGTTCATCTGCTTCAACTACGATGAGAGTTTATTTTGTTTAGGTGATAGATGAAATGTAATAAAGAACACAACCATTACTTTCAATCTTGTTGAAAAAGCAGTAATCAGGCATCAACTTTGTATTTGAAGTAAGTAATGACATCAAAGCTTTACATGAAAAGCGATAGATGTCACGTTGCTTAGTTGAGAACATCGTGTAAGCAAACGTACACTCACCTGTACCTATTACGGGAGCCAGGCTTCTTAAAATAACCTTGTACGTTCGCTTGGGCCTGTCACAGGGCTATGTGGTTGTCAGCCTGTCAGGCTTTGCACACCACCCAGCTGGAAGGACTCGTCTTGTTTATACCGCCGCCCCGGACATCCTGGTTCAGTGAATGTGTGCACACCAAGCTGTTGGGACGTCTTATTCCTCACAGCCCGCAACGCAACGTAAGTTGACATCACATGAAGTTGATAGATGTGAGACTACCCTGATACGAGTATATGTTTGCAGACTTTAGCTGTTGCTCGTCTTTTTGTTTTCGTTTGTATCTAGGACTGAAGCTCAATCGCAGTTTTTATTTGGAGAAAAATGTCAATTATGGATTGGACAACGAATAAGAAAATGTTATTTTGATTATGAGGCGAAACAAATATTGATTTCATATGGTTATGAGGTTAAGTGATATATGTTGAAACCATTGTGAACATTTAAGCTGTATATATTCTTTAGACCAAGTATATACCAACATTTCAGTATATGTCATGTTTCTGTGTTTTGCCTTTTTCAGTGCATCAATAAAGCATGTTTTCCTGGGGTAAGTATACATTTGTTTTTACATGAAATCATCCTATCCCTGGCTGATTTTATACACCTACATCAACTGTACCATTCAGTACAACTAATATCGGGATTCATTCTAATTCATCAGTTGTCTTGCCGTTTACATCTGAAATATAACCCCACGAGTTGACATCATCTTACAGGGTGTGTGTTAGCTGTAGTCATGTGACAGTAATGTGATTTTGAAACATTTAAAAATATATCATGATAATTAAGACTGGTTAATTAAGTTGATTGAGACGTATACAGTTTATACGCATCAAGTTTACAAACACTGTTACTACTAGCATTTGGTAATATTTTAAAACCAACATGTGTTCACTTCATCTAACTGCCACTTGCGCACTTTTACCTTACAGATATCGGTGGAAAAGAGGTAAGGAATAATGACATTTCTCTTCACGCCAATGTTCTTGCAGTCAGAATCTTTTGTAAAAACCAGTATTTTTAGTAGGCACAACGTATACACAGCGAATGCAGTGAAAGGGAAGTGGTTGCACAATTTGTTTTAATGTATTTCTCTTTACACACAAACCATCAATTTCAGTTTTAAGAACACTCGGCCTGTTGTTAATTCCTTCACTTTTGAGGATTAATTCTAAGGATCGAATCAGTTTTTGAATATGGACACTGCATGTTTATGTTTATAGGACGTTTGATTAATATAAACCAAAAGAAAAGAATCACACCCCTCAGATTAATTTAATTCTTAAACTTGTTATTGTATATGTGCATTGTGACAAATGTTTGCAGTTATTTCATGCTGCAGTCGCCATTGTTTTACACATAATTAAAAAAACCCAGAATACATAACATTAAGCCATAAGCAAGAACCTCGCAAAATATATTGAACCGCAAAAGAAACGTCACCATGGATAGATATACGAGAAACCTTGTTTGTCCAAACCCTGTTAACATACTTTGAGACATATTAAAAAGATGAAACTGATCATCAAGGTAGAAATTAAAGTGTCAAATGTTCTTAAAGTGAAACACAACACTAGTCTCTGAGAAAATGGCATCACAAGTCCGTATCTCGTGTGTCCGCCATGTGCACTGAGGACTGCCGTGCAACATCGATACATGGAATGGATGAGGCGGTTGATGAAGGCCATAGGCACTTGAACCAACGCTCTGAGGAACGCCTGTCGCAGTACATCTGCAGTTGTCGGCCTTGGTCGGACGTCATTCAGCTGCCTTTGAATCTCGTCCCACAGATGCTGTATGGGATTTAAATCGGGACTCTGGGCAGGCCACTGCGTGGTTCTGATGCAGTTCTGCTGGAGGAAATCTCTTGTTGCTCTCGCACTATGGGCATGGGCGTTATCAGGCTGAAACTCGTGGTTGTGGCGACGTGCCAAAGAAGTATGGCGTGTGGTCTCAAGACTTGATCAATGTACCGAGCTGCTGTGACACCATTGCCTTGCAAGACCAATTCCACCCTACACCATGATGCTCGGACCACCCCATGAGTCTCTCTCAACAACACACGCATCCGATTAACGTTCCCCACTGCGTCGACAGACTCTGCCATCTGCTGTTGAGATACCGTAACGGTTGTCGTCTGAAGATTCTTCTCCACTGTTGTGGCCTGTGACAGTGGAGGTGTCTGTTCGTCAATCGTTGACGCACGGTGTCCGCACCTATGTGTCGCTGGTGTGTCCTCATGGTCTGTGGAGCAGATTCCGCGCCAGTAACTAAGTGATCTTGAAGATCTCACGATCCTGACGTCAGATGATGACCCTTCGGTCATCTGTAGTGTTTGTGGTCTGGTACCGTTGCTGGAGTTTGTATGTGGTCCTTACGACGACTTGAAATGCATTTGCCACTTGCAGGGCGGTTTGTCCAGCTTGCAGTAATTCAAAGGCTTGGTGTCGCTGATTTCTTATCATTCTTGGCATATTTTAGCAGAATTCAATAACGAATGAATGTTATCCGATCTGGGTGTTTTTTTATAGGGCACGAAATGGGGCAATGCATGTGCATTTAAATTTGCATGGAACTCACGTGCATCAGGTTACCATGGCCGTTGCCGTGATGCGATCGGTTTTATTATCACCTGCTTTGTTTTTTTATCATCAAATTTCATTTTTTCGGACAAGGTAATGTTAAATTTTAGAAACTTGGTAAAAAATTTCCGAGATATTTAAATGACATCATTTCATGCAATGTTACGTGTGGTGACGTTTCTTTTGCGGTTCAGTATATAACAATGAATGATGATAATTAAGGAAAACAACAATACAATACGTGACGATTCCGGGGTAGAATAGGCATATGCAGCATATATCTGTGCAAACTAAACTGCTGATCATGCATTCCACGTGATTCAAGTAACATGTATCAGTTTGGTCATGAATTTTGAGCCAAAAGTAAAGTTGATCAAAATTTATGAAGAATTATGATTTGAGCAAAATTGTTAATTCAACAACACACTGTTCAGTAAAATGAAGAGTACTGGGGTTATAATAGGTCAAAATCAGGGCATGATTGAATGGCATAGAACATCCCTTAGGCAACGAGTGATGTAATTGAACTTTCAATATTAGATTAATCATATGCCACCATGCTAGCTAGAATAATGGTTACTCTGGTGTATAACATTAAAACAGAGAGCGCAGAAAGATGAGGCACTGAGAGCCGAAAGCAGGCGAGCGGACGATGAAAGGGAACGTGCAGAAAGAGAAAGGAAAGATGCTAATCAAGCAAAGGAAAAAGCATATATAAGTGCATCAAAAGCTAAAGATGCCGAAGAACGAGCCCTAAAGGAGAGCCAAAGAGCAAATGAAGAGAAGGAACAGGCAGAAAGGGAAAGGAAGGCTGCTGCTAAAGCAAAGGTAGAAGCAGCTACAAGCGCAATAAGAGCTGAACAAGAAAGGAAGGCTGCTGCTAAAGCAAAGGAAGAAGCAGCTGCAAGCACAATAAGAGCTGAACAAGAAAGGAAGGCTGCTGCTCAAGCAAAGGAAGAAGCAGCTGCAAGCACAATAAGAGCTGAACAAGAAAGGAAGGCTGCTGCTCAAGCAAAGGAAGAAGCAGTTACAAACGCAAGAAGAGCTGAACAAGCTAAAGAACAAGCTCAAACAGAAAAACGAAGAGCACTTGAGGCACATGAAATTGCAAAGGAGGAGAGAGAGAGCAGAAGAGGCAAGAGCACATGCAGAAGATGAAGCCAAGAAATCAGAGGAGATGAGACAAAAGAAGGAATCTGCTGAGCAAGAAAAGCAACGCCTTCTGGATGAGAAAGATGAAAAGCAGAGGAGGGATGAAAGTTTCATGGTAAGTGTGAAATAATAACTATTTGTATCTTCAAATACCTGAACAGATATCCGACAGGTCAACGCACAAGAAACCTCTCGCAGGTCACAAAAAGAGCAGTTTTTAAAAAGATGCCCTAGGTGCGGGATTTTTTAGATGTTTAACATAGTGTCCAAGATTATTTCACATATATAGCGACGTGCATGCACGTGTGTGTGTAGCTGCTTGTACTAATCCTAACTAGTGCCGATTATATGGTGCTGTCCAAATGTGATACCATGCCACAGTTTGATATGATTACTCCTTTCAGACACAAGCAAACCAGCCCATGTTTTAGCCCCTTAATTATTTGCGATGAATACAAATTATAAACCGCTTTTCATAATCATATAAGGTTCTGAGATCACTGATTTAAATTTGCTTGTGTTAATTGTCTGTGAAGTTAATATTGTTATCTTGTTTATCTGTAAGAATTGATTTCAAACCTGTTTTTTGGTTCATGGAGATATAAATGTAAGTCTCATAGTCATTGTTCAGATCGTGTAAACCCTTTTATGCTATGCGGGCATTGTACATTGCTTTTCTACGTTTTTGTCTCCATAAAATATATTGTCGTATTTTTGGGAAAATAAAACGACTCAACCTATGAAATCATATATCATATTTTAAACTATAAGCAAATATAGGGATTAAATTATTATGAGAAAAATAAAGTACAGAAACAGCTGGCTTGATCTAAAAATATCGTAATCTTAGCTCATCCATTTTCATAAGGTTTTATTAATGTTTTTTTACTGCCAAGATTAACGTTTTAAAGATGGCTACAAGATATTACATTAATGTTATCATCATGTATTTAAGACATTGTTGACACAAGCAAATATGCCAACCGATAGAAATAGGGTGTGAAACAGAACCAGCAGAAACATCACACAACGTTTTTAGTCATACAGTTTGCTTTCAGATAGTCGTAGGAATAGAATTGACATTCCGTCAGGAAATTAAGGCAACACTATATTCAGTATTACTTTAGTCATTCCTAAATAAACTAAAATCACCAGAAAGTAACTTAAGTACTATGCTGCTGTGTATCATCTAGATTGTGTTTTTTTAATATATATTTACAAAGATAATCTTTACTCGCTAGAATAAATGTCAAATGGAAATAAAGCTGACATGTGTAAGCCAACCTGTACATGCTTTTTCCAGTAGCTGTTTACAGATAGTGATAAAGCAACTACAGTCCAAACATGTTTTGCTTAGGTGTGAGAGAGCGTTAACCTCTTGGATGCCAGATTATACATGTTCCTCCATTTCCACCCTCACGAATAAACTTCAAAATACAATACGCTCACAGATACACTTCACTGTTTAGAATAATGTGGGGAATTCCCACCCTTGCTCCCCACCCGACATCAAGGTTACAGGGATGTTATACTCCAGAAATAGAGACATGATTAGCTGATGTTATTAGAAGGAGAAATGTCAGGCTGGTTCGGCACATGGCATTTTCTTATAAAAACACAGAATTCAGGGGTCTGTATCACCAGATTGGCCCATGAGCCACCGCCTTCTGGCAAAATTCTGAACAAATTTGTTTCACTATGACCACGAGAAAACTTACATCCTCGTCTCAGCTGGTATTTCAAACTTGGCTGCCATACTCTTAGACCATTGATCAAAATATATATTAGTATGGCCAGTCCATTAAAAACTGGACTTGTATTTACAACTAGGTATGTATACATGTATATTTAAGGACATACGTGATAGTTTATTTCCAGTAGTTTCAAATGCCATCCCATTTTACTAAAGGAAAAGTTTGAAATAGATACTGATTGGAGGTCAGTAATGGAAGTAATGGAATTATTTGTCATATTAGGTTGGTTAGTTGGTTTGTTGTTTAACGCAACACTTAGCAATAGTCCAGATATATGACGGTGGTCTGTAAATAATCGAGTCTTGACCAGACAACCCAGTGACTGACATCATGTGCATCGACCCACGCAATTGGATGCCTATCACGACAAGCATAGTCGCCCTTTAACCGCAAGCATGGGTTGCTGAAGACCCTTTCTACCCCGGATCTTCACGGGTCGTCATAAAAGAAAAAAAAATCTTGGTATTGAACTTCGAAAGTTTAACCAGCAAAATGTTAAATATATATGTTTTTTCAGTTATAATGCCTTTCCTATTTTGCAATAGCTAAACTACAGCTTGGGAGGGAAAATTTACAAGTAAAAATGGTGAAAAAAGAACCACAAGAATGCTTTGATTTTGCTGTTAGACAAATATTCATTTTTTGATATATCTATTTCATACTAAGGATACAAAACAAAGTAATTACTACTATGTCACTGAGTGAAGTATTTGATAATTTAGATAAAGCAAAATGAAAAAAAAACATAAATAAAACTACATAAAACATCAAAACGAAATCACATTTACACTGAAAACAGTTTGTCTTCCCGAAATCGATTATCTATATATTGTGTGTAGATCTAATTACTTGTACTGTTGATGTTATGAATTGAACCATTCGAGATTCTAATAGATATGAAGCAACCATATTAAAAGTGTAGGTTGTTTAATATATGATCCATGTCAACATACCAAAATTGGAAAACTGCGCCAAATATTGTAATAGTGTTAGTCAAATGATAGGCGGTCTCATTTACTCGTCTGTCGCCGTAGACATTTTCCAATCGTGATGTACTAGATATACTTTCTAGTTCCATCAAGGAGAATATTGTTATTTGAAAAATTAAACCAACTGTATCCATTATACTGCAACAACATTAGATCATGTGACTGTCTGTAAGCCTATTCGAATAAAATAGCAGATTGTAACGAAAAAAACAAACTCTTGGCTTACAGTTCAGATAACTTATCAAATAGGAGTTGAAGACTTGCAATATATTATTATACGTTCATCAATAATTTGTAAATCTAATATTAATTAGATCCATGCAGAATGTTGGAAATACGAGCTGTCAGGTTTTGATAATATATATTCAATTTTCTGTGGAGATTAGTAATGTGTATTTGATGATATATATGCATACACAATTGGTTATCAATTATCTTGTACAATCACAGCATGTACCATGTACATTAGACTCACAGAAAAATACTATTTCAGCAAACCAATCATAGCGCCATAATCACAGTTTCAATGAAAGGAAAACAAATCGAAATCGAACTTTACAGCACATCGTATCCATAAGCGGGTAACCAAAACGCATAAAGCTATTGCTGTCATCATTGTAGAAGCTATGTTGATGTTTTCAGTAGTTTTATTTGTTACGAGTGGAAGTGGAACGAAGGGATACACTCAAAATCCATTCGCACAATTAAAGGATCGCACAACAATTAAGACAGATATTTATTAACAATGAATGATAGATCACCAATATAGCTAAGTTTACTATGGGAGAATTAGGCTTGGGCTACCATGTACAAATAATATCACCATCAAAGGGCTCCAGCAAATTGTATACTTATATAGTCAGCCTGATTTCCATGTTTGATTGTTCACTCCACTCCTTGTTCCACGAAAACACATATATCATAGTTCAACATAAGCTCACAATGCAAGTTTTCCAAGGCACACATTTGCAAATATCAGCATGATTTCTAGTTTAGTTTCACAAGCCACGACATGGGATACAATCAAACTACCACATGTGAAACCGGCCTTGACACAATATTTTTTAACAATATGGCGTCGACTCACGTTAGATGTTTTGTCTACACTTTTTCGTTAAAACGTGAAGCAGCTAGGTCAAGTCATTCCCACGGCCAGGTAGTTTGAGCAATCTCACATGACTGACTCTTGGTCATTTCATATGAACAAAGTAGCAGTTTTTTGTCTAAACGGGCCAGCATGTAGGGCAACCGGTAAACAAGAAATCGCGTCACAGATATGATGCGAACGTGCGCTGTCGATCACTTGGACCAATCGGATTCCTCCTCTCGTATCACTTGCGTTTGCCTCACACACAAAGGTGGCGTCGAGTCAGGACGATCTGATCGATAAATAAGATCTATATTGTGACAACACGGATTTGACATCTCGAAATGCATCAAATCACGTGAGCACCTTGATTAAAAACATGAAAGGATTTGGAAAATATCTGCTGACAACGAATTGGCGATGCACGACAGTTTACCAACCGGATGCGCGATTTCGATTGGACTATGCATAGACTCGTTAGTCCAGACAAAACGTAACTCCATAATACCAGCCTATTTCGGCAAGGGTGGAAACTGGACTTTTATAGTCAGTTAATTCTTTTGCCTCGGGAAGATGCGTTTGTGGCAACTGGCGACATAATGCTGTGGTTGGTTTGGGGTCAGAAGTATATATTTTAAATACCTGCTCCAGGTGTATTCAATTTTGTTTTATTTAAGGAAATTGAATATTGGCAAAACCAGAGAAAGAAGATTCACACAATCAATAATTTTGATTAAAGCGTTGATTAAAGTGTATAAGGTTTCTAACTAACATATTTAAATCTTATCAGAATTGTGTCTTGAACTTTCTTTCTTGAACGGTTACATGCCTGAACGCTGTAGACATAGTGTTCATTACCATGTCTGCCGTTTAGTTTGTTTTGTGCAGTACAAACCTACAGAGAGAGACAGTGTCAGACTATTTGCCATATGTATCTTGTTAACAGTTAGTTGGCCCATAAAACAAAGCAAAAATAAAACATTCTGGTTCTGAAGAGTGCGCAGACTATTGCCAACAGCATCCCAAATGTGTTCGATGGGATTGAGGTCGGGAGACCTTGACGGCCAGTCCATGACGTTGACTTCCGCATTCTGAAGGAAATTCCTTGTCAAAATTGCTGTGTGGGGTCTGGCATTGTCGTGTTGGAAGTTCAAACCGGGTCCATGTGCTGCCATAAAAGGCAGAAGTTCTGGAGCAAGTACCTGGTCGCGGTAAGCAGCAGCGTTCAGGTTGCCATGGATGACAAGAAGCCTGGAACGTGCATTGCCACAGAAAGCACCCCACACCATGATACTTCCGCCTCGAAATCTGTCAACTTCCTGTAAAAAACATTGGGCGTAACGTTCATGACGGCGCCTCCGCACCCTCGCCCTACCATCAGCAAATCTAAGATTAAATCGGGATTCATCACAGAAGATGACTTGATTCCAATTCCTCTGAGTCCATCGTAAGTGTCGCTGTGCCCACAACTGACGTTGACGTCTGTGTCAGAATCGGCCCGCAGTATGGCCATCGTGCTTGAAGGTGAGAAGTTCCCAGACGGTTTCGAACAGTTTGCGCACTCAGTCTACCCCTAAACAGTTCATTTCAGGTTGATGTAGCCGTCAAAAATCGGTTACAGAGGTGACGTAGGACAATCTGACGATTCTCTGCATGTGACGTCACACGTGGTCGACCTGGCCGTTCATTAGCACATTTGAAAGGCGTGGCATGATAAATGGCTGTAAAGACTTTTGTTTTCTTGTGTTTTTCTTTTTTTGTTAATGAATGCTAACAAGTATGGCTGAAAACACGTGCGGTATTATGGTCACCTGACCAGTTCCACGTGAAAAACCACTTTGGCCACTATAGTACTGTACACATGATTTTGATCGACTCACCTGCACACAAACGAGTGTTATCCGAAGACAACACGTGGCCATTACTGTTCAAATACCCAAAAAGTGCCCACAATGATAACTGGTAAAAATGTTAAAACTTTAGGATTGTGAAGTTATTAATTCTGTTAAAGGGAAAGTGTACACGCAAAAATTACTTTCTTTCTTTTTCTAAACAAAACGCTATTTTAGAATTAGTTATTATCTGTGTTTGAAAATATACACTCATTTTTTTCACAGTGAAAGTAGGAAGCTCACAATAGTGTGAAAATGATATGCCGTTATGAGGCCTTCGTTTTTCGAGCTAAACAGGCCTGAGTTATCTCCCTTAGATAATGACGTAATTGGTGCCAATTCAACTGGGTCCCTGTCTATTCTGAATGCAAAAGATATCAAGTACAAGTTTTAGGTAAAACAACATGGCCTACGACACACTCCGGCGCAGTGGTGACTCAGTATAACACTATGCTGGCTGGCATCTGAGACGCTAGAATCACACACCTGTACCTACACCACGTGAAGCGGCTCTAACAAAGCATGATGACGTCATAATGTTTATCAATTGGCACCAATGACGTCATATTGCAAGGGGCATAAGCCATGGTGTTTTTGTTATGGAACTAGAACACTTGGTAAATGTGAAAAATATAAATCGTTTTAATGCAAAACATATGTTGATTAATTGTGATATTTTTATATTTTTGTCTATGACACTTCTAGGTTAACACTTTTATTGTGGAAAAAGCACAAGAAAATTAGGTTCATTTCCGTGTGAACTTGCCCTTTAAGTATATAAAGAGTACAAAGTAAATGCCATGTGCAAGGTAAGGCAGGTTGCAACAGCTTAAATGTTAGTATTAATCCTGACTAAAAGAGTAGATCCTCCAGTCGCTTTATTACCCGGAAAAGAACATGAATGATGACAATTGTAACGCCTCAGGTCATATGTATCTGTGTGTTAAAGATACGTTTTTTGAAGACAAAGTCTTATGGTTTAAACTCTTGAACTGATAATTGCCTTTCATCAAGCGTCCTTCTAAGTCCTCTGCAATCAAATTAACCGATTGAGTTATGAGGGATTCTTGCGTGAATTGTGAGAGCGTCCTAATTGTGACAGCTATGACAGGGTTTAGAACAATGGCCAAACTTGTGACATGTATCACATCGGAGTGGAAAGGAGACACCTTTCTGGCGCCTTGCCAAATGTATTCCCATTCACTTTTTGAAGTGTGATCATGTTTATATATGTGCACGATATTTAATCTTGATTCTTAATTTTCAGAAGTTTGCATGGGGACCAAAGAAGAAAAATAGAGGGACATCAAAAGGAGTAGATCATGCATCAATGGTGTGTTCTTCTAAGCAACAAAAGATAGAAATAAAACTCTCGCAGAGAGCTGAACAGCTGTAGCTGACATACATTCTACTCAACAGTTGCTAAGGATCACAACTTTGTTGAAATAGCCAGAGACAATATTGCATGAAGACATGTTAATAAACAAAAGTCTGTTGTCATTTGCCACACATTTGATAAATGATAGTATCTGACGAAAACTAAAACATAAAAAAATCATGAAAAGAGATTCATTGTCCAAAACAAAAGAATTGTCAGTAGCGCTATGTGATCCATGTAAATCAATCACAACCTAGTACTGTCACAATATGGTTCTGAATAGTTGCCAAGGGAAGATTGTACCTCCCTTCATTTAGAACCTTGCCAAGGTTTTGTAGAGAACAAAAGGACTTCATGGTAGGAAGATCAGTAACTCATTCCACATGTCTTTGACACAGTTAGGGCATGGTGATTGGGCTGGCCACTCCATCCGGATAATGATCTTTGTGCTCTAAGTAGGCATCAAAGACGCTGGCTCTATGAGTTCGTGCATTATCGTCTATGAGGATTAAGTCCAGTTCGGTTGCACCATCATACGGTTTCACGTACACACCCAGAATTTGAACCCTGTTGTGCACACCTAAAATCGTACCTAGTTGTAGGACATGGAGATATATTTTCCCTTGTCGATGGCACCTTCGAACACAACGATCTGTGATTGAGGGGATTACACACTGTCCGGGAAGAAACATTAATGTCAATGGTATTCCGCAGATGTGGTGGGAGTCAATAAACGATTAAGTCATGCTCTAATCAGAAAAAAACCTGCCTTCCCACTGAGTTTCGGAACGTGGTCGACCACCTGCATGTCACTTCTGGCATCAAGACCATGCCCAGCTGATCACAATTTGGCATGTGTCTTTCAGTTTTTGCAATCCTCAGTTATTGTGCCCTCTGATAACGATTCTGATTTTCATGAACCTGATTCACATCGTGCACATGACTGCATGCCTCCATCCGTTCATCCTGAAATTGAGGTCCTTTAGGGGTCACGCATGAATTGTGTACTGGTATATAGAGGTTATCACGTGATTGAGGAATAAACATTGTGTTTAGCGAACCTTGGTGAGCTGAATGCATTGTGTTTATTCCTAATACAGGATATTTACCATCCCCCAAAACACAAACGTGATAACCTCTTTATCGTATTATGTGATTCTTTAATTCTGTGCTTCAAAATCGCTTTACCTCTCTCACATACATAACCGAAACATAGTGAGTTTTCCTGGAATGCGCGCATTAATATTTATGACGTCACAGGGTAAGTGATGTCAGTCGGACAGTGACAGTAGCCAATATAAATCCAACTGAAATCTGTTTCTTATACAGTGACGAAGCAACATATACGCAAAACAAGAATTGTTTTTATTTGCCTTTCGCTGCAATCCATCGGTCCTTCTGCTAGAGTAACTTCCCTTTGTCAAAGGGAAGCTACTCTAACCCTAGTCTGAGACGTCACGGCCACGATCAGATGTTGTTGACAGTCGGTCTGTCCTGTCATAACGTTAAGAAGTGTAGTCAGATGTACACACAGCGACAAAACGAAACAAGGTAACAATTCAAATATATTTCGCCAAATCCAACTGTTTTAATTTGGGGAGAAGGTTTCAAGCCGCAGAGGTCTACAAGCACAGATATGACTACTGATCCCGCTTGGCTAGGCCTCGAGCCCTCGCAAAATTGTTTTGAAATTTATATCTCTAAAGTGGCCCAAACTTATAAAATGCCTTAGCTACGTCACAGTTAGACACTGATTTTCAGTATATTAGACTTTTGATAATGAAAGCAATTATCCCTGTAGTTTATCCAGATTCCCGGTGGTTAGTTCTGACTCGATTGGCAAATGACCAGGGCGATGCCATGTTTGTTTATAAACAGTGACCTTTGATATTTGCATCTCTATCCGCATATGACCCCAACAGATATCGTTTTTATCTATTGGCTTTATCTTGCCGATAAACCTACCCATTATATGATAAATATCTTTATTTATTATCATATCACCAAAACTGTGTCATTAGCAAAAGTATTTCATATTGAATAGATGTATCTTTATTGCTTTCATTTGTTTACTATTCTGCAGGAGGTAAAACGACTCTGCGAGAAATTTTATAAACTCAACAAAGACAAGGAAGGGAAGGTTTTATGTGGGAAGATCCTGATATTTGGTCCAAGTGGTGCTGGAAAGTCCTCCTTCTGCAATGGCTTGAGATCAGCACTGATGGATTATGACACACCTGCCAACTACTATGCTGTCGGTTTGCGCGATGGGACACTAACAAAAAATGTATGTTCTCTCTGGAACAAATCTTGAATAATTCTCCTCACTGTTTATTAGATAGTTTTCCATTTATTATGCTATTTCCTAATTAAAGAAAAACTACCGTGTCGTCATCGTTATAATGGTCTCTTATGATTCAAGTAGTTTCGTTACCTCTGATAGCTTTATACTCACCAGATATCATAAGATTAGGTCATCAATACATTCTGGTAGCCTGTTACATCGTTGAGAAGTCTTTACCTCAATAAGAACTTTTCTTAAAACGTGTCCTGAACTAGAATCCATACACCCCACCTGAGATTACATTGATGATTCTTACATAGCTCCGTGACCATTGTTATCATGAGATATTTGAGTTGTATGTGTAAAATTGACTGCGTGTCAGTTGAGTCCACTACATTTCTAAACATAACCTCTGAGCTGAGCTTAATCCTACAGCACAAAGCTTCATTTTCCAGTTTCAGGCTGTACGATATGGACATCACTGGATTATTGACATGCCAGGAATATTTGAATCCAGTCTTTTGAAAACGGAGAATATTGAAGCCATTGCATCTGGCAGGGTTCGCGTTGATGCCGAGGTAAGCACTGCATAGTACCACCATATAAATATATATTAGATATGGCCCAAATATATCTTGACGCAGGTAACATAATCAGCATGCACAATCTATTGAGATATATATCCATTTGTTTGCTTCAAGATAACAGAAACCCTTGATGTGAAAGGCAACAAACAATAGGCACAAAGGGATGTGTCATGTGTTGTTCTGGTTCTCCATCATGGCATCACTCTGGGTGAAGAACTGAAGCGCCAGCTAGATGTTATCATACAATTAGGCGGACGTGGTGGTAAGTTTAGACTTATGATAGAACTTCCTATTGACAAGGTCACGCAACTTCAGGGTGTTTATTGCGATATACAAAAGAGCTTTGTACTGATTACATGCCTGTGGTGATCAAATGTATCGTGTTTCAGCTCTGTCCTACCACCTGGTGCTGACTCACCTGGATGAGTGTGACCCGCAGTTCAAGGACCCGGATAACATCCCCAACCTGTACACATCCCCTCTAGTACAGGAAGCTGTGAAGAACATGTCAGAACAAACTGGCATTCCAGGGTACGCCATCAGTTACGTGAAGAATTATGTGACGGAAACAGAAACAGACACCAACACCCAGCTGCTTCACCTGAGAGCTCTTGACAGAATCCTCACCTCTACAGCTGACCAAGTGGAGAAGATGATTGATAACAAACTTCAGAAGAACATGTATGGGGATGCCCCTGATACTGAGGAGACACAGGCTGTATCTGAAGAGAAAAAGCTTACATCAACCGTCTGGACCATCCCAATGTCACTATTTGCTGTTGGGATACTTTTCGTGGCTATGGTATATATGTTTATCCAGTGAATGTAAAACCTTTCTCTGAGTATGTAGGCAAAATGTCCTCAATAATTTGTAAGTTAATGTCCTTCACCATGTACTCAAAACTAATAACCAATGGGTATTATTAATTTACAAATATATGAATTAGTTTAACAGAACATATTGATATTTTTAATCATGGGAAACATTTGTGAAAGAAAAACTCGATGGGTGCTCAGCTTTTTCAGTTAGAGAATGTAAACTTGAAATATGATGCCGAGCCCATACAAGTTGCATCAGTCAACTGGATAATCACAGTGTTAATATCCTCTTGTATAGGTTTGTGCGCTGTGATATAGATGTGTACCCAGCGATTGTAACGCTATAATAGCCCTCCTATCCTCAGTAAATTTCATTATGCAATGTTATTCACCATTGACTCAAAACTATTCATGTGCATTCTGAAATTAAATAAATAATAGATGTATGAAGGATAATAGCAGAGGCAAAATATATCAACAATTTCATTTCATTCCTTAAACACTGGAATAAACCATTCATTTTTATATCATTATGTAATCATGTGGACCTATAAACACTACATATATGTTCAATTCACATCTTTTAAGTGAGGATATTGGTACGTTTAGTCTGTGATGCTTAGCATATTCATCAGAGCAGCATTTGACCATTACAAATTTAACCAAAAGTGTGTATTTCAAATAATACTTCTGGTGCCACCGGTGTGATATGACACGCTCACCTTTTCACGAACACGTGGTATCATCTCTGTTTCATAGTGAATTCGTTAACATATGATATAGGCGGACCCGTACAATCGACTATACTTTTAGCAGATATTCCTTATTATACTGAGACAATTTAAAAACTTCACATTTTTAAAAGTAATCCCTTATATGATATACAACGGACAAATGTATTAGAGAAGGTAATTTTTAATCAATAATGTCCAAAGAAGGATTTTAATTAACGGTGGTAACCATAATTTGTTCCAAGTACCTACGGTATTCGGTAATAACATCAACAGTTTAAATCATAAGTCCCAAGCACGAGAATCTGATGGCACACAAGTTCAGTAGCGTGTATGGCCACCATGTGCGTTGACAACTGCCACACAACGTCTCCGCATGGACCTTGAAATGCTGACATGCTTACGTGCATTTCAGAAGTAGCCTTATTTTTCTTCAAAGAGGAAAGCAAATGCTAATAACAAAAATGGGGTGGTGGGGTTTAAGCGTTAGCTCCACACGCTGAAGACCAAAATGAGTAAAATGTGTGAAGACCATTTTTTGTGTCACCCGCCATGATATTTCTGATATTGTGAAAAGATGCATAAGATAAATATTATACATTGTTTATGCTATTTGAACTTTATTATTGTGGCTACTAACGACTCTGTACTCTTGTTCTGGCAGGAAGTGCTAGACGCACGCTGTAGACACATTTGCAGGGCTTATTTCATCCGTAAATTTAGAATAACAGGTTTGATAGAATATTTGATTATTATATATCTATTTCGTGTCAAGTGTTAAACATGTTTTATTTACCTATCTGGAATATCACATAACACATAACTAACTTGGCTCCCTTACTTATCCTCAAATTTGTTCAGACACAATAGATAGAAATTACTTTATTAAAAAAAAACTTTCATTAAAGAATGCCTATCACACAAAGTCACTAACGTGAGACATTGTGAAATGTCCAACGTTTCGGAAGCTTGAAGTTGAAGTCATTCGCATGTCTTAATACGAAACAGATGAGTCTGTTTAAAGTGCAAATATAATGAAAAATAGTGCTAGATTGTTATATATAAATACGATGGCCGAGAAAGACAGTGTGAAAATGTAATTGTAGCATCATTGCGCTTAATCTTACAAGTTCTAACAGAGGGGCATGACTTAATTAGCACAGACGGCTGGGCCTAATAGCTGATTAGGTATTACCACCCGCCAGGTACGGAATATACGGGATCGTTTCATGAGCTTTGGGGAGACCCATGTTGTATGTACTCTGCTTAAAGGAAACGAAACAAATAGTGAAATTGTAAATAAACATCAAAGTGTTGCCGACATCCACACAAAATTAATACCAATATTAATATGGATTTCTGCATGGATTTGGATTGATAAGTGTGGAAAGAATGAGGTAATGCAGTAATGTTGTGAATCGCAAAAACATACACACGTGAGAGCCTGTCATTACAAGACTGTGGAACCGTTATCAGATGTCCTAGATCCGGTCGACTTTGTATCATTAATAGAGCACAGGACAGATTCATAAGACTACGTCACCTATGTGTAAGAACCACCACGGCCACCTCTACGACTACGGCAATACCAGGATCGGGTAGGATATCAGCGCAGACAGTGAGGAACCAGTTTGAGGTATCATTTTGACGAACCTGCATCTTCGGCTGCGACGTCAATAGTGTCAAGGTTAAAGAGTATGTCCACAAATGAGATGGAGACAAGATTGGTTTAATGACGAGTCACGTTTTATGCTGCACCATGATGAAAGTATATGTCGTGCACAGGCGTCACGGGGAACGTTATACACGAAACAACACAGGAGGTTGACAGATTTGATCGTGGTAGTGCGATGATGTGGGCAGTCATCCCCTACACTGGGAGAACCTTCTTAGTGTAAGTTCTGGGTAATTTAACGTAACAACATTACATGGATGAGATCCTTGGCCACACGTGCTTCTCATTACGCAACAAGCGAATGCCATTTACCAACAAGACAACGCCCGACTTCACAAAGACTGGCAACAGCCCGTTTCAGAAATCCCAACATCGAGGTCCTACTATGCCCCTCCAGCACGTCTACAGAACCTCCAACAGTTGGCACAAGCACTGCAGTGAGTGTGGGTGAACATTCCCCAGGCCAGAGTTCGGGATCTGATTGTATCCATTGGACGACAATGCCCGTCAGTTTTGGACTGTGGGCCACATGGAACATGGGTCAATGAAAATCATGTTTACTAATTTTGAAGAATCGATTAACATCTGTTGATTAGTTATATGATATAGCAAATATACATTTAAAATCACTTTAGCGTTTCGTTTTTGCAGAGTATAAAATACCAGTATTGATTCCATCTATGTCACGAGTATGACCAGTGGGGCGTGTCAAATTAGCAACAATTATATAACTTTAGAAGTTTGGGCTCCTCCCCTTCAACCCCTTAATATGTGCCGTTATATAGACAAACATTATATGCCAGCAGTCAGTCCATGAGCTTTTAATCACTCTTTGATGTGTATAGTGTAATGTAACACGTTTATCAAGTGACACGAGTTCACCGAGTCTTTGACAAACCGTTCATTTTTGTTGTACTATTTCAGGATTGTGACATTATTTATTGATTTGGTGAAAATAAACGAAGCAAACTAACCAATCTGTGTTTTGCATCCACTTTTGCTTCATGCGTCCATCCCGGTTATCACTATCGGTCACAGATTCAAAATAGGTTTTCACTTGTACTTCTTCAATCACCAATTCATCTTCACACTCCATGATAAGTCGAAAACTATGGTCACTGTAAATGTGGAACATGTTAGCAAGTGATGATCACGATGACCTCACAAAGTAAGTGCCAGGCTTCATTTTATATACTGATAACTGAATATTTTACTGCCTCACAACAAAATACAAGTAAGTATCAAATGGCGAACAACAAACGCAATTGCAGAAATAGCATGTTTCCCACATTGTTATTCAACGAAAAGGAACTCACCCAAACAGGCTAGTGAAGCTCGGGAGAAGGCAGACAAATATTTCCACCCCAGCCTCTATGCCCATAAAAACACCCTTTCCAAAATGATGTTTCAAAAATTAACTCACGTTTAACCATTATCTCAGTCTTATTCCCCCTTGAACATAATTCACCTATTAAGTTTATGAATGGTGAATAGAAGAGTTTGAATTATTTCAATGGGATATCAAAAGGTATTGATACATTATATTATTGTCTGTTGGTTACCAGCTAGTACAGCTCTTGTTATATTGGCGATTGGGATACATTTCTCATTTATGTCCATAAATGTATACAGTTGTTCTTAAATCTAATCCGAAGTAATCCGTTTGAACTGTTTTTAGAAATGTGTCATTTGTCAAACGCCTTGACAATCAATGGATTCATACTGTTGTTTCTAATAAATACAAGACAAAAACGTGCCTATGGATGTTGATAGTCAAACCCAACATCAGGGTCGGAATACAAAATTCAAAACGAATCATTTTATTTTCTGTCATGTTAATGACTGCGATGCTCTTGTTTCCAAAGTTAGTAGGGTTAGTTTTTTTATAATAAATTATACGTCTACAGAAAAATGAAACGTGACACGTAAACAAGAAATATATTTACTCATGGCTTAAAAGAATGATGTAGCTATGTTGCGTTCCAGGCATGTTGATGATTCAAAGGAAAAATATGAGCTCAGTACCAGTCACATAAAACATCTGACACAAATCTGTTATCATAAGTCCACAAAACACGTAGAAAGTCGGGGATTTATATGTATTGCATATCTTTCCTCATTTTCATATGGGGCTCTCCTGAAATTGGATAGTGGCCAGTTGTGATCATCTCAAGCTGTGCTCGATGAAGGGAATACAGACCCAGATCTCAGGTTACTGTTTATAGACAGGGACAAATGGTAAGTGATTTAGCTTATTGCGCTATGAACGCCTCATCGCCGACAATGGCTTCGGGGGCAACGGCAAG